GTATAAACGTTTCGCTAAAATTAAAAAAAAAAAAAATAAAATAAAAAAATTTCAAAGTGTTACCTTCGAAATGAGGAGTCTGGAACTTGACTTTCGGCTTCCAGAACCTAAAAAAAAAAATTCGAAACGTTAGTATAAACGTTTCGCTAAAATTAAATAAAAAAAAATAAAATAAAAAAATTTCGAAGTGTTACCTTCAAAATGAGGAGTCCGGAATTTGACTTTCGGCTTCTAGAACCTAAAAAAAAAATTCGAAACGTTAGTATAAACGTTTCGCTAAAATTAAATAAAAAAAAAATAAAATAAAAAAATTTCAAAGTGTTACCTTCAAAATGAGGAGTCCGGAACTTGACTTTCGGCTTCCAGAACCTAAAAAAAAAAATTCGAAATGTTAGTATAAACGTTTCGCTAAAATTAAATAAAAAAAAAATAAAATAAAAAAATTTCGAAGTGTTACCTTCGAAATGAGAAGTCCGGAACTTGACTTTCGGCTTCCAGAACCTAAAAAAAAAATTCAAAACGTTAGTATAAATGTTTCGCTAAAATTAAATAAAAAAAAATAAAATAAAAGTGTTACCTTCGAAATGAGGAGTCTGGAACAGCATTCTGGCTCTAAAAAAAATAAAAAAATAAAATGAACGAATAAAATCTGCATGTTGCAGATTATGTAATGCAAGTTGATGCGTTCATCTATAAACAAAAAAATCATACAGATATCGGTGCCAGATATTTATTATATAACAGATCGGTGACTAATAGTTTGGATATCGGGCACCTGTTAAATTTGTATTTTTTAACCAAATTTGAGTAGGTGACAAATCGGGTACCCGATATGTGGTTGATATGTAAAAATGCCCAATATGTACCTGATTAGTCACCGATATATAGGTACCCGATATGTGTAGGATAGATCATTTTTTGACCTGTGTAACAAATAATTAAATGAAACTTATATTTTATTGAGTTCTGCGGATGAGAACTGTGGAATTACTTTGAACTCTGCTCTCTATTTATACAAATTTTATGATACTTTCTATTCTAATATATGCTATCTATATACTATCTTTAATATGTTATCTTTCAATATGTTTCTATATTATCTTTCACGTTTCATCTTTTTAATACACTATCTTTCAACATATTTCTATTCTTAATATATTATATTCCATCTTTTGTGGCTTATATCTTTTTGTATCATCTTTTATATTATCTTTTATATTATCTTTTCATATTATCTTTTATATTATTGTTTTTATGTATTTTCATTATGTGTATTCCTTTAATCCGCTATACCTTCATTTCATATGATTTACCTTTTGTGGCTTATAATTATTCTTTCTGATTGTTCTTATTGTTGAACTCAATAAACTGGTTGCTAAGCCGCAATTGATCAACTCCCTACTCAATCTATTGGTTCCTTGTTAATCATTTGATAAATATTACATTATGTAGATCATTACTCTTCCTAAATGTTTATCCTTTTCGGCTAATCATTTATCCATTCACGCTGATTCAAGATTAGTTCATTCGTACTTAGTACTTGACGTTCACATTTGTCCATTTGGTATATTATTTGCTCTCGCTTAATATTTGTCCATTTACAGCGCCATGCTTAACGATTTTTGGAATGTGATCGGACGATTATTGCAGAGATTTACTATGTATATTTATTATGTAATTTACTATATTTTTATTATGTATTTACTATATTTCATTATGTATTTACTTTATTTTTATTATGTGTTTACTGTAAATTTACTATATATTTATTACATATTTACTGCAATTTGTTACATATTTATTATATATTTACTATGAATTTACTATATACTTATTATGTATTTACTGCATATTTACTATAAAGTTAATACAAATTTTCTATAAATTATTATGAATTTACTACATGTTTGATATATTATTACTTTAAATCATTTATACAGATTCTTGCTAACATTTATATAGTTTCTTTGTATTAGCAATACAACTTCTATATTATGACTACATATTTTCTATATTAAATACATACAATAACTGCATTAGAATTAACATAGAGTAGCCGTATTCCTACTATATTAAGTGGTGGCAGCATGGCTACTACATAGCCACGATTTCATGGGTTTCTGCAAAGGAGGAAATCATAATTAAATCAATTACTTCATCTTATTATTGTATATAAACAAGTAGGAATATACTTTGTGGGCCTTTACTAATAATTTCTCAAGGAAACAAATATATAATTATGGCTATAGATTATATGACTAAATGGCCAGAAACTAAACTTATACCAGTTGTTACTGTAGAAGCATCTACTTGATTTATCTATAAAGATATTATTTGCCAACATGGTTGCACTGCAAAAATTATTATTAGACAGAGGAACTCACTTAAATAACAAAATAGTGGAAAAACTTTAGAAAAATTTGGGATTAAAAATAAACTATATATATATTTCTCCAGTATTAGAATAGTAAACATTTTACTATAAAAATTTTACTATTTTATTTGGTTAATGGAGGAGAAGCAAAATTTTCTGTAGATAATTTGTCTGATAATTTGGATTAAATATTTCAAAGAATTACTACTCTAATAAATAATTTTCCACATGTGAAAGAGGTAACAAAAATAAAAGTCAAGAAAGTCAAGCCAAGAAAAAAGAATATTATGATCAAAAAATTAAAAAGGAGATTAATAAGATAAAGTCTTTTATTATGATGCAGCAAAGAAAACAATGGATAGGAAAAATAGACTATAAATGGAAAGGACCATAAAGCAAATCACTATGTAAATCTATTGGAAGAATAAGTTTCTTGATTATCCAATATACTTAATACATCAATAATGTTGCTTGAAAATTGAGAGGGGCTAGAAAAAGTTATCTTCTATGTGGTATGCTTCTGTCATCTCGTTATTAACTAGAACTCTATTATATCTATTCAAACTAATATCCATTACTAGTTCTATAAACTTCTTTGGTAGCTTTATCCTTTCCATAGCTAGTTCTAACATTTTAGTATTTACTGAGTTGTATGCTTTCGATATATCCATAAACAAAATCCAAGCTTCTTTACCATTTTTATTAGCGTCTTCAATAATAGTGGTAAAAATTTGTTTAAATTTGAAATAGGTGAATAATTAGAAGGTAAAAGTGAAATAATTTGTGAAGAAGAAATATTATTATTTAATAAAAAAGAATGCAATCATATGCATTGTAACATAAAATTTAATTTTTGAACTGTAAGGATGTTTGGTGGTCGTGAATTAGAAGGGAAGGAGCCCAATAGGACTTAAAATTATATTGGGAATGTTCATTTTGATAAATAAATTTAGCACTAGAAGAAGTAAGACGAGTATCATTTAAAGATAAAACGCTGAAAGAAGAATGGAGAAAATAATTTAACAAATGCAGTTGTCGAACAGGGGAACACAAACTATTAACATTGATTTGTCCAAAATTAATAAGAGGGAAGAAGAAGAAGAAGGATAAGTATGTGATTGAATGGTAATAGAGTTGTTAATAGGGCAACTAATGTAAGTATTACTAATATAAAAACTATTGTGTAATGAACAGCCAGTATAAGGAATTAAAATGTTTTAGGATTAGTATTAATATTATGGCAAATTTGTAAATCAAAGGTTATAATGATGTTCAAAATAAATCATAGGGGTAAAGTTTGGAAAATATGTTTTTCTAGAATATGTTGTTCACCAGCAGCTCAGTCTATTGAGCAGTGAATTATGAATATCTTTAGGGAGACACTTGGCATGAAGTATTCCAATTAAAATCCTTACATGCAAAAAGGTCTATAACTATTACAATTACCAAAATCTATCTCATATTGAGATAAATACATGGTATAAAATATGTTTCCTTTAAGTATATAAATTATAAAAGAAATAAAAGAAATAAATATAATAAAATAAATATAAACACTATAAGAAATAAATAATATATATGTAATATAATAAATATAAGAAATATATGAATTCTCTTTTTTGGTATCATAGAGGAATGAATCAATATGAACATGATCATAGTTTGAAAGAATTATTTTTGCATGTTCACATTTTGTTCTTAAATGACAAAGATCACTCATGGATTGACTTTTCACTTTTTGTTATTGTATTCTTGCATGAATGATTTACTAAATGATTACTTCAGTTTCAGTTTTTAATCTGTCATTCAGATTTTTCAATGATTCCCAATCAATCAATCCTTCCTTCCATGTGCCCATGTTCCCATTATAAATTTCCAACATAGAAAAGCATTTTAATTCTAGCACTACACTCTTATAACCATAATAATCACAAACAAAAACTTCTATAAACCTATATTGAACCATTATCCAAGTCTTTTCTACAAAGATTATTGTTACCAAATATATGAAAATATACCACATGTTGATCATTTTGTGGCACAGCAAATCTTGTGTTTTTCTTAACTATCTAATTTTCATGTCTAACAATGCTCAAAACAATATCTGATGTTCAAAAGGCTATCTATTTGGGTAATATATACATTGTTCAGTTATTAACTCTGGAACATTTTGGCCTTAATCATTTTTATTATAAGGAGAATATGAATCTTTTGCTATATCTTTATCATTATAGCTTGATGAATCTTTATTTGAGTTTTTTGTTTTTCTTTTAACTGAAGAAGTGCTAAAACTCATATTTAAATTTTACTCTTGTGGTGTTTATTATATATTTTGAGAAAAATATTTGTAAAAAATGTATGTTAGTTTTGTCTATAAATTTCTTTTGTAAAATTTTGGCTATAAGATCAATGAAAAAAAGTTTTCTCAATTAATTATCCTATATGTATCTGTAATATTTCTACTAAATTGTGTATTATAATACTTATAATATTTATTATTATATATTATGCAGAAAAAAATTAATCCCCACCAAAGAAAAATTTAGAATTAAAAAGAAACCCTTTGGCACTCCTGGCCAAAAAAAATAATAGAAACCCTTTGGCACTCCTGGCCAAAAAAATAATAGAAACCCTTTGGCACTCCTGGCCAAAAAAATAAAAGAAACCCTTTGGCACTCCTGGCCAAAAAAATAAAAGAAACCCTTTGGCACTCCCGCCAAAAATAAAAATTATAGTACTCTGGTGGAGGGGGATTTGATTCCAAAAGTTACTTATAATTATATTAACTTTATAGTTTTAATAAGCTCAGTATTTTGCAAAATTTTAGACCCAATTACAAAAAATAGCTACCCACTGAATTGTATGCTTTTCTATTATGAAATGAATTAGTAGACCTTTTAACTCTTAAGTATTCAATCAATATTAGCATCATGGAAGTATGACAGTTATACATTGTATGTAAAGAACTAAATAAAAATGACTATTCTTTTCTTTGAGAATGAAAGGGTGATGTTAAAAATTTTGTGTTTCCCTTACTATTTTTATTGTGAAACCACATTTTATACATTCATTGCATTCATTGCCATGTACATCACATCTGAAACATTGCACATCATTGTGTCACTGTCAGAAATTAAATCTATCAATCCATCTGGAAGACAATCTTATATGTAATTGATCACCTTGCTTTTGGTAGTAAATTCTATATAAATATAGTTGTTATATGGTTTTGTATAAGTATTTCTGGTATTAATGATCAATAGAACTGTTGTAAAATTTTGATTTTCGTAAGTATTAAAATTGAATATGAATGAATTAAAAAATATGGCCTATTGAGTACATCAGATTTGTAATATTTACTACTAATGCATAGATTGCTTTGATTTTGCTTTCTTGCAACAAATTTAGTCATTTTAAATTATTCATATTATTATTACAATTTTATCTATTTTATCAAGTTGAGTAATGTATGTCAAACTCTATTAGTATTGAAAACCATATATTTTTTGCTTCTTACTATTAAAGGATTATTGATATGTAATTTGTAATAATTTTGACTGCATATCCAATTACTTTATTGAAAATGATCAGAAAATAGGTGTTTTTAATTGTCCTTGGAAATGTAATTTCATGAATAGTAAAATTTTTGTCTAAAAATGAACATGTAACTCCTAAATATCCTTGTCTATTTCTATCTGTCCACATGTCTGTAGTTAAACTTACAGAAATTGAGTTAATATCCAAAAATTCTTGAATCCAAATGTGTTGACTGCCTTTCACAATCTTTCATAAATTCTTCTTATGTTATGATTTTGAGGATGATATTCATTTACAAGATTGTCTTGCATTGATATCATATGTTGTAATCCTTTATGCCACCCACTATTCTGCTGGAGTATTACAGATAGGTTTAAAATAATTATTTATAAAAATTGATATTGTACGAAATTAAGTACATATTATTACATTTGACCTGTACCTATTAAAATCGACTATTTCTTAATGCTAACTTGAGTGTTAGAGGTACTTATTATTCTGCATTTTTTTTAGTTGATCAAAACTTCAGTGAAATCTTAATATAACCAAATAATTAAATTCCTTGAGCTTTAATTAATGTAATTGCTAATTACATTGTTAAGAATTACTATGATAATCCATTAAAATTTGATAAATATAACATAACATATTATGCAAAATAATCCAATTTCTATGCCATATAGTTTAAGCATTTTTGCAAATTCAATTTTCTATTAACAATTAATAATTTCTTGAAAGTAAATTTTTTTAAATTGATATAGTTTAGTAATCTAAAACCGTCTCTTATAAAATCTATTAATATATTAAGGCACCATTATTTTTTAGTTTTAAAAGATCTATACCTCTAGGTTAATTATTTTCATTATTGTAACCTTCTTTAATAAACTTTAAGATAAATTTGTTTCATTTAAAATTTATATAATCCTTATATTGTTTGATATGTAAATATAAGATAAATGAGTTCTCTGAATGGCTCGACGACATATATCAAAGTCTTTCTGTCATCTATCAACTTGTAAAATCGTCTGAATTTCTATCAACTCAATCTTTTTGGGCACTTCAAGTACTATGTGAGTTGGCGTAACTTGGAGCTCTTGAAACTCTCGTAGCCACAGTTGCAAGAACTAATTTTGCATTTGATTATATAAAATTTGTAGTATATATTTATATTTTATGAAGAAGACCTTATATAACTTTGTTCTTGATACCAAAGATTAACTTTACAAGATGAAGACAATAAAATATAACAAACTTATGCAATATGAAAACATAAGTTGAGATTTTGAATTAAATCTAATAATTAGTTTACATTTATTTAATATGCAATTTGATAAAATAGTCTCTAGACCTTAATAGTATACTATGAATCAATACATGTAGTAAGTGCTTTGAGTTTTTGTAATAATATGATGATTCTTGTAAAATGATCTCCTCTAAGTAATTTTGCTGTATATTTGGACTTCTGTTTAGGCCATGTCCAAAGTATTCACATAGGTAGCATGGCTTTGTAGATGCCAACTGGTGCAATCCAGTTTGTTTTGCTTGATAAAGCTACAACTTCTGAGGTAGAAATAAAATTTAACTTTTAGGGAGCCAATGTTAAAGTCATTGAGGTGTATCTAGTTTAATTATAGTCAATTCTAACATTTTGAGTTATTCAGCAAAGTATTAGGATAGATGAGAATCTTCTTTTATCAATTTTTAGCATATTTTGATCAAGATGCTAAGTGAGGAGATATAAAAGCTTTTAATTCAACATATATGAAATTATTGATCCATTTTGGAAATGCTTTCTAGAAAATTCACATATTTCCATTTTCTTATTCTTCAACAATAACAATCCCGTTTGTAACTACTTCATAAGTTGGTGGTTGGATTGATGAATTGTTATTTGATGACAGATTTGATAGATTTTCAGTTTGATTTGATGATGGTATTTGTTCACCATTGTACAAAGTAGATTTTTTTGTATAAAAAAAATTGCCTAATCTCATTGATCCATTCTTCATTTTTACACTATATCTATTGGCAACAGTTTATTATCTTCTAAAATTTCAATGATCTCTACTGGTTGCCCATAAATCTGGAAAATCCTTCTTTAATTAATAGTATTATTAATGATATAAATATCTCAAATCAATTTGATAAAGCAAAAATCATCAAGTTTAGTAATTACAATTTTATTTGGAATCTATCTCAAATCTGGTACTTTGCTTATTTTATCATTCTAGATTATGTCTAGTGATTTTATTGCTATCAATCCATAATTTTTTAATTATCCAATAGGTTATTTCAAGGCACTAAATCTATAATAGAGTCCACCTTTTTGCAGTGTAAAATTTTTTAACTGCTATGATTTCTTTTTGTTCTTCCTGTAATGAAATGATTTTTGATTTTAAATCCTCAAATTAAAATATGGTGAATAAAAATAGTTCAGTTTATTAATAATTTCTGTCATTTTTTTATTGATTTCTGTCATTTTTTTTTTTATATTAATCAGTACTTCTTTCTTTCACTTGTGTGGCAAGGTCATCATTATATGAGATTAATGTGATATTACTCTCCTTCTAATTTTCAACTCCAATGAAAATTAATGATGCTGTTATCAGTCTTGATTCTTCTAATTTCAACTTGTATATTATAGTAAGTAAAATTAGTCTATCAAGTCATCTATTTATGAAATATATAAAATTTATAAATTCTCATAGTGTGCTCAAAATAATACTGCACCTGACTGAGAAATAAATCAGTTGTTTAAATTTCGCCAAAATATTTGCATTTTTCAAGTATTGGGGTGCCATTGCTGATCCAAACACTTTTGCTGAAATCCTAACACATCCAAATTGATCAACCATATTTGGCACAACTATTATTTAAATTCTTTTTTCACTAAAACTTTAACATCCATTTTACTCTCAAATTTAAATGACTTCAAACATTTTGTCCAAATAGTTTAGAATGCTATAATATGTTATAAAAGTTTCATATTTAATTCTTTCTCTTATAGCTTATAAAAGGCCTAACCATATGTTTTGTTGTTTCAAAAAAGAGATTAATTTTTCAATAACATATTAAGTAATAGATAATACTATAATTTCTTTAGATATTTTATGTTTGAATTGCACACTTCTCTAGGAAGATTTTTGTAATATTAAATTCATAATGGCCTCTTTTACAACCAAGGCAATAGAAAATTATATACATCTCTTTCACTTATACTTGCTAAATGTCATAATTCCTAAAAGATCAGATGATTCTTTTCATAATGTAGTGATATATTCTCTCAACTTATAGAGAACAAATTTGATCAGTATACTTTAAGAATAGCTTTTGATATATGTTGTCCATCTTACTGTTTTTATAAGATGTATTCTACATTAAAAATTCAGGTTTAATTTATCTAATTTATGTAATACAAATATGTATAAACTATTTTATTTATAAGTCCATAATTACGTTAATTTTAATATTTGAGTTTAATATTTGAAAGATTATCTTCAGTTTTTAACCCATTTTTTGCTCTTATGATACAGTATCTAAAATGTAGTGTGTAATATTTCTTTTCTGTCAGTTTCAATTTGTGAGATTTGAAATGATGACTGAAGACATGGACCATCTTTCTCATTACGCCTAATTCAAAGTTTTTGATGATTATATGTTTATCTTTCACATTGTATTCAATGCCTGCAAAATCTGACATGTTCCTTAAAATATGCTATAAAGAAATTGGTGAGAATCAATTGGAAGCAAAGGCCTGTTTTAATGTTTATGCCAACTATATTATGATCTTTATATTCTTTATATAATTCCATCTTGTGGATACATCTGCAATACATTGTTATTTAAGTTTTCCTTGATGTTGTGATGATACTCAGATCTTTCTACTACCTAAATAATAGCTTTAAGGTTTCTGATTGCTTGGTAATTGACTAATTTAATATTATTCATAAACTACTTGATTTTCCTTGTCTAAAATGTAAAATGTATTTTTTATCTGCACATTTATTAATATATTCAAACCCCTCTATATCCATTAAATATCATAGTTGCCAATATTCATACTTCATTTGGACATTGGTACTGAGCATTTCAATTGTGCTTTTTTCCCTTGAATATACATTCTTACAACCCATTTAAAATTATTTGTTTCAATGGATAAATTGTTCAGTATTTCTTGACAGATAAATTTATACATTTCACGCATTCCCCCTCAATTCCTTGATTATATTTAAATTTGATGTATATATGGATTGCATCAAATTTATTTATTTCGATTTCAATACTGCCCTTTTTGACTCTAATTTCTTGAATATAAATGATTAATTTATTGTTATATTAAAATATATAATAATAAAAATATATCTGAAAAATATAATAAAGATTCAAATCAATTGAGAATTCCTATGAATGTGTTTAAATTGAGGTGATGGACCAGTTAATTCAGGGATAAGGTCAAATAATGCATGGAAAATTTTTTGATATTTGACATGTTGAATGTTATAATAGATGTATGTTGATAAAGCTTCTTTGTCCAACAATTTGCACTTCATTGTATTTCCATATCTGAAAAAGCAACCATGAATCTGTGGTTCAGTGATGTACAGGGGAATATCTGCATAAATGGAAACTTAGCAAAGCAAAAAACTAAATATATATAAATCAGATATTATAGAAATTTTTGCTAGTATTTACTTTAATTCTAAAATAATGATAGTAATAATCTTGTTATCTTCATAAAGAAAAAAATATTTCATGTAAGACTTTTAATTTTAATTTTCCATTTTAAAAGTGTATAAGAATATTGTTTTTCATTTTGAGATTGATTTCTTTTAACAATTTTATTTTAGATAGATTTGTGATTTCTATATGATTAATTTTTCAATGTTTCATTTAAGAAGAGTAAAATAATTTTAGTCTGTTTAAAAATAACTTATATATATCTTTATCATTTAATGTATAATTTTTGTTTACTGAATTAAACATTATTATTAGTAAAGATAATCAAACGGGATGGTATCATTAAAAAGTTTGCAAGATAGTACTCTAATAATTCCTTTAGACTTTTCTAGTGAGAGTATAATTTCTATTAATTTCATATTGATTTTTAATATTTATGATTAATATATAACATAGTAATAAGAAATAATAGATTTGAGAAGTATATATAATAATAAGATAAGATTGGTATAACAAAAAGGTTATTATTATTCATGATTATATCATTTATTAATAAAACATTGTTTTTTATTTAAATATTTTGGCATTAGGGGTGAACCAGAAAAATGAAAAAAAAAGCTGTTTAATTTATATATAATACTGTGGCTTAAATAACATGCTGAAATGATGTAATATGATAAATTTACTATAACTTTAATTAGTTTAATGGGCTTTGATAGATGGCTTTGTTCATGGCTTACCTGTGATTGTTTTTGCTAAGCCAGATTTTATATTAAAAAAAAATATTGCAAACCAATAAGGTTCAATAATTTTTAGATAATCAGAAATAATTATTGGCTTTCATATGTTATTACACTTTTGCAAACAAATAGTAACGTGAATAATAATAGAAATGATGATGATATTGTATACATTTAACAGGGGGAATTAACCGGAGGAAAATTAGGAAAATTAACCGGTGGGGGAAATTAACCGGTGGGCGGAATTACATAATTTCAAGTGAACCCATTACCAGCATTAACATTAATTCCTTACCGGTAACTTTACCTCCGATTTAGCATAGCAACAACCTTATATATTTATTTTTTTTATTATTTATTTTTTTAAAAACAATTGCACTGCATTTCTTTATTAAACCTTATATATTTATTCATAATAAAGCAAATATAATTTTATTATATAATTAATATTTAATACAAGTACGTTTAAATACACATAAATATAATAAAGTAAAACTAACAAAACTAACAAAAACATTTTCGAGTCCATTCGAAATCCTCAAAAGTGGTTTCATCTGAAACGATATCATATTTTTTAATTATTCCCTCTGATTGGTATTTTTTCAATGAATTAGTATAACCTATAATATTTATTTTAGGAAGATGTAATAATATAGGATGTCTACCCTTCCAATTCTCGAAGAATAATTCTAAAAATGCTGAACTAGGTTTCTCATTAAAGCGAAAAAATTTAAATTTAAATAAATTATTTGGTGAAGATATAGTCAAAATATTAAATAAATAAATCCAACTAATACGTTCATCATCAATATCAAAATTAATATATAAACCATTTAAATCTTTACATTTGATTAATAATTTTTCTAATTCTGGAATATTATCATTTCTAAATAATAATTTAAGATATTTAAGTTTTGGACAATTTTGATAAATAACTTGAATAATTATCTTATTATCATTAACATTAGTAAATCCACCATTAATATTTATTTCAATAAGTGATCGATTTGTATTTTTAATTAAATTTTCTAAAACATTGGTTGGAACATATTCAGCTTTTAAAATTTGTAATAAAGGTAAAGATAAATTCTTCATACAATCCCATGACATATAATGAAATCTATTATTTAATTCTAACCTTTTTAAATTTACAAAAGATGAAATATTTGTGATAGGATATTTATGTATCGTGAAACATTGTAAAGAATTTACATGTTTAGTTAACGAATTTTCAAGAGCTTCACAAAATGGTTTATCAAATTTTGAATGATTATTACAATTATTAGTCAAATCAATATTACATAATTTTTCAGAATTTTCAATTAATTTAATGATTCCATATTTGTTATTATCCGCTTCAATAGAAAGTTGTATTTCTTTAATAGATTTACATATTCTCATTAATCCAGTTAAAATTTTATCATCTACGCTGGTGTTACACTTGAGAAATTGAAGGTCTGAAAAACAACGTTCCGCTCCAGAAATAAGATGTAATTTAATATCAAATTTATGAGGTATATTAAGGCGTGTAAATTTTGTATTTCCATTAATAAAAAGTTCAACTATTGTATTCTTAATAATTGAATTATCTGGTTGTTTTTCAAATAAAACATTAATTATCCTTTCAATTTCAATTAAATTTAAATTTCTACAATAAATAATATAATTAAAACTGGGTTTTTTATATGATTTTTTCAAAATATCGGAATCAATTTTTTGGATTAAATCATTTCTCGTTTTATCTGATAAATGTGAAATAATTACGCTCAAGAATGATTTCTCTTTTCTTCTCTTTATATATTTCCAAGGTTCTTTCCATAAAGTTGGAATGATTATTCGACACCATGTTTTGTTAACTAAAGAACATGAATGAAATACTTCATTCAATTCAAGTTCTTTGAAAATCAAATAAAGTATATCTCCGTTTAAATTGGGCATTTTTAAAAAATTTTTTTTTTTTTACGATAAATAATGACAATCGTACGTACGTTATTTATATCATTTTTGTGACATGTTTGTTCACGTTACTCATGTTATTCATGTTATGACCGTTGCGTATCACAAAAATTCAGTCGACCTTTCAATTACTAACTTAAACTGGAAAATCATTTTCATTTTAAATGTGTTAATCAAGAATCATTAAAAACTTAATTCTATTTAAACTCGTGTGTTACTTTCATACTTTCATTGACAAAGTTATATTCTTTGTAAATTGATAAAAAAATGGGGTGGGAGTATTTTTTTTTTTTTTTTTTTTTTTTTTCTTTCTTTTTTTTCGAAATTATAATAAAGAAAAATTATTTATATATAAAAAAAATATGACTACTTCAATACATTTAAGAATTGTTTAATTTTGGTTCTTTATATAACAAGAATTTTTTAAGTCGTTCCTAAAATATTAGATTTCCGCAGTAGTTGGACTCGTCACCGAACAAGCATAATTTGTATTGTTTTTTTTTATCTAATGGTTGGGCACATGAACAGGCACATGAACAGGCACATGAGCAACATGAGATAAACAATAAAGAAATGAAAACCTCGGTATGGAAGGCCCTGACGATCACTTGGTGCTTTCATTAAGAATGGTATAAGAAAATAAAGGTACTAAAAAGGAATGTTCAATGATAATTTAAAAAAACTATGACATTATGAACTTTGTTGTTATTATGCTTTGACATAGGACCCCGAGCAATACATGAAAAAGTAAACAATACGGAGTTTGCGACAAAATAATGTATAGAACCTTCCTTTTTTGGATAATTTCAATAATTTCAGGCGGAATTACGTAATTCTGGCCCTGAAGAGTTGCGTATAGCTAATCTAATAGTAAATTAGTGTTGACCTATTTATATGTTACACGGGGTCCTTTTGACATTTTTGTTTTTTGTTCTCAAGAAAAAAAAAAATTTTGAAATGAAATGTGACATAATAAAAGTAAAGCCGTAATATCAATTACCAATGTGAATTGAACGTGAACCTTGAGTAATATTAGCTGGATATTACATCATAATTAAATTAAATAACATTTTTTTTAATGGTAACACGATTAAGCTACAAAAAGCAGCAACAAAGGACACGTGTCTAACGTTGACGTACACCAAAATAAATGGGTAAAAAAACATTGTCAATAAACAATTTGAACAATACTAGATTTTATGAAAATTTTTTTAAAAACAATGTTAAAATAATAAAAGTTTTTTAAAAAATATGCCGTATTTTAAGTTCTTACAATAATGAGATCCTTAAAATGAATATTCGTAATACAAGTTACAAAATAAAATCAATTCGAAGATTTGTATATCCGGCCGAAAAATTTCATGTTCATTTGTCAGACGGTATATAAATTTTCGCCCGGGCGAAAAAAAATTAAGCCGTCCAATCATCCCTTAAAGAATTTGCTAATTTATATAATTTTAAAAAAATTTGGTGATATTTAAACAAGAGGAATATATTTTTTTAATTTTATTTATTTATTTATTTATTATTGAATTGTAGCGAATGCCCATTCTCACCATATTTATATCTAAAATTCTATAATAAAAACTAGAACCTATAAAGCCTTTCGATTATTTAAATTGTATACTAAAAAAAGTCTATCAAATAGCAATTTGCGAGAAGAGTCTATTATATATTCGCATAATTATTTGTGTAATATCATGATATTAAGAAAACGCGCGTATAATGAATTCTTCAATGAAATTGATAAATAATTTTTTCTTGGCTTTTATTCAATAAGATCTAGCTATATTTAGTAAATTCTCCAAAATATTTTTTTTTTTTAAGGTTCTTTTTGAAGAAAAAAGCATAATAATAAAATACTATACATAGACTATAGAATTATTTTAATAAAGTAACTAAGATAGCCATCTTTGGTGATTTTTTAAATATAATTCGCAGTGCAATGTTTTAGTATTCGTATAATATTAATTTCAGATTGCTGCGGATTATAAAGTAACGTATGCACTAAATAACCCTTTGATCTAAACAAAATTTTAAAATAAAAAAAAAAAATTTCTAAAATTCGGTAAATTTGTCGCATGCTTGACAACGAGATTTGAGATCTGATAAGATTTAATAGGGATTTTTTTCGTTTTTTTTTTCATTGTGACTTTGATGTATGACTATTCAAAGGGAATGTACTGTATATCACTTTAAAATACATTTACATCTGCTACTCCAGAATTATAAATAAAAGACGGAGGGAATTCGCTAGTACTTAATAATTAAAAATTGACTGTAGTTTTAAATGATCGTGACATTTTGAAAATTCTTTCCACATTAGTGAATTCATCTATGATCATTCGTGATGCTGCACCTGATTTACGCATCGTATTCATATGACAAATTATTCATAAAAAGAAATTTGGTTTATTATTAAAAAATTAAAAGTTGTGTAAAGCCGTATATTTTTAGTGATTCAAAGAATTTTAGGAATTTGTGTTTGTGATAGTGTAATACGGTGTCGCTACAAGTCATTATGCAATCGTATGTGTCATAGTGATAAATAGTGAAATTAGCCCCTATAAAATTTTATTTGAATATTTCCATTATTTTTACCGTGGCTTTCGTAAAAATTCGTGAATATACATTCCCGGAAAAAAACATGGAAGTATAAAACATGGATCAACATTTTTTACAGAGAATAACAATAGCAATTATTTTTAAAAAACGATAATTACCACTTTTGATTAAATAATATTTAGATAATTAATTAAATTAGATTTGAAAAACATGAATTTAGATAATCGGCAATTGGGACATGCTGATAGGTCAAGTAAACTTAATACCAGTGTTCGGTTTGTTATTATTCATAATCATTTGCCATTTAGTACGGTCATTTCATTTCATTTTTATTTTATTTTTATAATAAGGACAAGAACAGAGACATGACAAAAACGGAAGTTGCTTTGATTTTGATTTTTGATATCTTAATTACCTTATCACATGATTTTAGGCCAGAATTATAGTGTTTACCAACATTAATCTCAAATGACATTGACAAGTGAAATGATGTCACCCTATAAAAAAATTGGATACGTTTTTTATAAAGTTTTTATACGATTTTTTTTCCTTAGAAATAACGTATCATAATAGGATACGAAAAAATGCACAATTCCGTATCACCAAAAATATGGTTTGGATACGGAATTTGCACGGGATTTATATGGAATTTACATGATTTGATCACTGATTTTATCACGAAATTTATACGATTTGGTCACTGAATTTACTATTTGTATTACAGTTTACTATAATTGTATTTACATAAATCTAATTTCACTTTATTAAATTAAATAAAAAATAAAAAATAAACAAAGTACAAATACATTATGAAAATTCCCTCCTTATTAAAACCACCTATTGCAACAAGTTCAGGTTCATTTGGAGTCAAACAACCTAAAAGAACAAAAAAAAAAATTGGAAACAAAACCCCCCCTCATATAGTATCTGCAATCGTCCAAGTCACCAAAGGTCAGCATTCCTACAAAAAAAGAAAGAGAACTCCAGAATGTCTGACCTACATAAAAGAAAGAATTATGAGGCGTCTAATGAAAAAGAAACCAAAACAACAAAATAAATCCAAAACTGACCTACAAAAAAAGAAGACTCTGAAGCAACAAAACTGAAACAACCTACAAAAAGAAAAGAATCTGAACCCAACCTACAAAAAAACAAGAAAATTTGAACTGACCTAAAAAAAGAAAAAAAATCCTGAATCATCCTACAAAAAGAAAAGGACTCCCAAACTGATCAACAAAAAAGAAAAAAGAAACTGAATATTCTCACAAAAAAAATCTGCTGGCCTATGAAATTAAATATAAATAAAGAAGAAAGGGGAATAAAGAATAAACCAAAAAAAATATTTTTTTAAAAAGAGGGATAACGAAGTTAGGAAAGTTAAAAAAAAATTTTTTTTTAAAGGGAGGACGTCAAAGTTAGAAAAATAAAAATTTTTTTATAAAGAGGAAATAGAAATAGAAAGAAGAAATTTTTTTTTAAAAAAAAGAAGAGTGGGAATAAAAGAAAAAATTTTTTTTTAAGGGAGTGACGAAAAAAATTTTTTTTTCAAAGGAGAACGAAAAAAAAATTTTTTTAAAGTGAGGTACGAAAAAAAAAATTATTTTTAAAAGGGGGTGACGAAGAAAGAAGAAAAATTTAGAAAAAATAACAAAAATAAGACAAGAGAAAGAGAAAGGAAAGGAAAGACAGAAAGGAAGATCGGAAGATCAAACTCATCAAAGTAAGGGTTTATATAAAAAACAAAAAACGTATCATAACAAAACAATAAACAATCATGTGATCTCGTGTTATGATACGGAATTTTTGTAAAATTATCTTCTAAAAATATTAAGTTTAAAAATTCCGTATACATTCCGCATGATTAATTTTTTCCGTATACATTTCTTATACATTAGTTTTTTAAAAAAATGTTCAAAAATGAATTACTTATTAAATATACGGAATTTGTATACGGAATCTATAGAAACGTACATAAAATGTATACAAAACGTATCCTTTCCGTATACATATTTTTTATAGGGTCATATGCACTGCAAATACATGTTTCAATCGTGTTACATATCAATATACCGAATTATAACAATTATTCAATACCAAATGTAAAAGTTCGATTTTAATTTCTTGTCCATGGACTATTTTTACATAAATATTTTTTATTTTTTCTTAATTTTCCGTACAATTCGAATGAAGTTTTTTTAAAAAAATTTATAGACTGTGTAGAATAAGTGTTTATAGTATTATAAAAATTACTATATGAAAGTTTGAGTAGTTCAATGTAAAAAAAAAAAAAAATATTACAAAATACGTAAATTTTATGCAATTTATTTTAAGGGTGCGCTATGCACGTAGAAGGATAGTTAGTCAAGAAAATTAAAAATGTGTTTAACAAATATTGTTATTTTATTATCTTAGGAATGTTTAAGACTTCAAGCTAATATTATCTCTAAATTTAACAGCTGATGAAAAAACATAGTGGTAAATTTAAAAGAAGCATTTTACCCGAAATGAAATAATTGTATTAATCGAACCTGGTCCTTATTAGGAAGAATTCTGAAATCCCATGTCTTGCACATCATAAGAAATAGACCCGTTTAAAATTGAAGCATTATTATTATAAGCATTATTATCCGAATACGCTTGGGAGTAGGTTGAATTCTCATAGTATCGAAGGATTTTTATTGAATATTATTTTGTTTATAAACGACAGGATGTTGAATTTCTTGCTGAATTCGTTGTTGAATGACTTGAATGTAAGATTGTATTATAACGATGCGATAACTGGTAATCAGAAATAATAAGATTAATTCTTTCATTCAAGAGTCGCGCATTTTCTAGTTTGGTACACGTCATTATGTCACGTGATATATGTGAATCGTTCGGTAATGGAAAGTAAAATAAGTAAAATTCAAATTTATGAGGTACAGGGGTTGCAGTATTAATGAAAGTATTAGACATTCTTACACTATTATTGTTGTCAAGAATTGCAAGGAAGCGAAGCTATTTCCAGTTTAATCCATTGGTAAATTAGAGTAACCTTTGTGCAGTTTGTTATTTAAATTCATGCTTTTCCAAAATCCAAATGATAATAAAAAGGTTTACATTTAAATTGTTATATAGCAAAATTTGAATTATCCTTATATGGAAATTTTTCTATTAATAATCTATTAATAAAGTTTTTTAAAAATTAAAAAGATTTAAAAATAAACTGAATTACGTACCTTCCTATAGTCAAGCTTAAGTAACCTATACATTTTGTTTTATTTGCTATTCTTATTTTAAAGTAATTTCGTGAAAAAATGATAATTCATGGATGCTTAAAAAAAAGTTTATCTGAATATTTTGTCATTAAGAACAACAATATCATCATGTGTTTAAACGGTCTTATTATGGATGGGCTAGAGGGCGAGTATACGATTGTCTATGAAGATGAAAGTCTCTGATCTTTAATTTTGCAAAATTTTTGACGTTGTCGAACATTTTTATAACAATTAACTTTTCACAGTATTCTTATTACGAGACCCTATAAGAAATATGTATACGGAAAGGATACGTTTTATATACATTTTATGTACGTTTCTATAGATTCCGTATACAAATTCCGTATATTTAATAAGCAATTCATTTTTGAACATTTTTTAAAAAAACGGGGGTGACGAAAACAAGTACAGTATGGAATCCTATGTATGTATGTATGGTGACCTATGTATGGATGTATGGTGGCTCATGTATAGTATATTACTATTGTGATAACTATACCGTATGAAAATTAACACCATACATACCATACATTGACCACCATAC